ATGTAGGAGCTATCATTTGACCTCTTCATGTAGGAACTATCATTTGACATCTACATGTAAGAGCTATCATTGACCTCTATATATAAGAGCTATCATTTGACATCTACATGTAGGATCTATCATTGACCTCTACATGTAGGAGCTATCATTGACCTCTACATGTAGCAGCTGTCATTTGACCTCTACATGTAGGAGCTATCATTGACCTCTATATGTAGGAGCTATCATTGACATCTATATGTAGGAGCTATCATTGACTTCTACATGTAGGAGCTATCATTGACTTCTACATGTAGGAGTTATCATTGACCTCTACATGTAGGAGCTATCATTGACCTCTACATGTAGAAGCTATCATTGACTTCTACATGTAAGAACTATCATTTTACCTCAACATATACTTTAAAATTCCAAGGAACTTTTGGAAAATTTGAAATCACAAGGTTTTACCAAAATCAACAGCTTAAAAGCTTACGGCTTTTCAACTTTATACAAAACCATTCCCCACGATAAATTAAAGTCCAGGCTTTTTGATATCATTGACAGCTGCTTTTTCAATAAAAATGGAACTCGTAAATTTACTTACCTTGTCATTGGTTATTTGCAAAATTTCTAAAATGAGGTAAGTTATTGACAAACAAGTTGATGAAACAAGAATATCAACATTCTCGTTTAAAGTCATCATTTTGCAAGTTCTATGGTCGATACAATGACCTTGTCAGCAAATACAATCTATCATTAAGTCAAATGCTGACTGACATTTTTCATACAAATTGTTAGACCATTATTTACTTACTGAATTGTCGACGGATTTTCCCGATCATGACAAGGAGCAAACGGCGGGTGTGACCGGTCGGCAGGGGATGTTCACTCCTCCATGGCACCTGATCCCACCTCTGATGTTTTGGAGGTCCATGTTTGCTCTGCTCCTATTTTGTATTGTTTAATGGACTTTTGAGCTTGAATACTGTTCGTTATCTCCATATATTTCATGTAGGAGCTATGAATTGACCTGTACATGTAGGAGCTATCATTTGACTTCTATATATAGGAACCATCATTTGACCTGTACATGTAGGAGCTATCATTTGACCTGTACATGTAGGAGCTATCATTGACCTCTACATGACTTTGACCTTAAAAAGAATCCGAAGGAAAGACATACTTACGTCTTTCTTCATTTTAACAGCATTTCTAGTTATGATATCCTTATCTATTGACCGCTGACACCCCATCCCCAAAAAATATCATGACGAATAAACTCTCCTTTCTGTGACATCAAAATTATCAATTCAAACATTCATTGAACTTCCTGATTTTTACACGATTATTCTGGCATCTTTTAAAACATTAAAGAGTTAATGTTTTTTGTTTACCTGACAACTGCGAGAGATTAGGAAATCCCTAAAGAAAGTAAATGTGAGAAATATAATTATTCATTATTTATGAATGATTCCTTTGGGGTTAAGTATGACGTCCAAGATACGCCCTGAAAGACAAAGGTGTTTCCTGGTGAACGAATCGTGTAATAATTAAGAATATACCTGGTGAAATCGTCTTACTAAAAAAAAATTTCGGTATATACGCTCGTACTTTCCCAAAAGAAACATTAATGTTTACGTCGTCAGTTGATATTTCATTAAGAAATCCGTTGAAGCCCTTCCTCATTTAACCTCACACGAACTAATTTTAAAATATTCATCATCACTGTTTTTTTTTCCAGTTTTCTGACACAATCGATAGGCTGTTTTTCTTACAGGTAACTGATGCCATTTCAAATCTTATCTCACTATAAATATAAATGAAGTTTTGAAGGTTGCTCAGAACCTTTCAAAGAATTATTATTTCAAAGAGTTAAGAAATTTATATAAAAATTAAAAATATATGTACTATTTATATGTTAAACTCGCATTTCAGTTTTTTTTTTGTTTTGTTTTTTTTTTTGGTGAAATATTTATAAATTTTAAAAAGTAACAATTTCCTTTTACCGTGTTGGCAAGGATAGAGAGGTTGGTGTGTTGTCATGACGACTTCGTCACAGTATATTGATTTATCAATTTAATTAAGGTAAACCATAAAATAATAATATTATTAGTTACATAGTCTTGTAGTGAACGGGTACGGTATGATAGTTGCTTAGTAATTTTTATACCTGGTGAGGCGAAGCCAATTTACTCACAAGGTAACGAATATACCCCACCGATGACATATATTCAGGTATCAATGGTTTGTAAAATTAATCCACAGTAGTTGTTTTTTTTTTCTCTCGTTGGTATCAGAGACTTTCCTCTATACTAATAGTACCCGGTCACTACAAGACTATTAACGAATTTAACTTCCCCCCCCCCTCCCCCGGCATCGTCTGAAGCCACGGTCCAGAGTCTGCATATAGGTTTCTCCTACCTGTGGCCGCCTTATTCACATAAATTTTAAATAACCGTAATCTTGAAATTATTACTCCTCTATTGTGTGACTCGTGTTAAACCAATGAAAATAGTTTTTTCCATCGCAATTGAAATCAACAATTAACAAGAAATATCACGTAAACGGCCATTGGGTATTAAAAGGTCGCGTTAGAGTTCATATTCCGCCTATGCTTTACTCGAATTGGTCAATAATTAGATGAGCTAGAAATAGTGGAATTCATGACTCCCCCTCCGACTTCAGACTCAGGGATGTGGTTAAGTGGTCATATATTGTAAATGCATTATAAACCTTGTATAATCTTTCATGGACATCTGTTGGCATGATTATAATGAGTACTCAACCTTTTACCAAGATTGTGATATTCAAGGACTTGGTGTCCATGGGTTAGGTCTTAAGGTGGGACTGAAGTACTCTGAAGTTGATATTAAAAAGATGCTCGAGTTTCTGATTGACATTATCTTTGTGGTTTTTGAAGATCAGGTCTTCCAACAATTTGTCAGAATTCCCATGAGTACCAATTACGCCCTGTTATTAGCAGACCTTTTTTTGTATTCATGAGAAGCAGAATTTATTCAAAGTATTATACATGAGAAGAAGAAAACACTTGGTAGCCTTCATCTCGACTTTTAGATATATCGACGACGTATTATCAATTAAGAATAGTTATTTCCATTCATATGTCGACGCGATATATCCCAGTGAGTTTGAAATATAAGATACCACAGAGTCTGACACATTTGTTTCATATTTGGATATTTTACTAGAAAAAGACATTAATGGTATACTTACAACAAAGCTTTATGATAAACGTGATGACTTCAACTTTTCAATCGTAAACTTCCCTTACTTAGGTAGCAATATACCCTTATCACCTTTATACGGGGTTTTTATCTCTCAGTTGATACGATACGCAAGAGCATGCTCTACGTAGGAGCAATTTCTAAAACGAGGTAAGTTATTTAAAAACAAGTTGATGAAACAAGAATATCAACATTCTCGTCTAAAGTTCTATTGACGATACAATGACCTTGTCAGCAAATAATCATTAAGTCAAATGCTGACAGACGTTTTTCATACAAATTGTTAGACCATTGTTTACTTACTGAATTGTCTACGGATTTTTCCGTTATTTCCCGATCATAAGGAGCAAACGGCGGGTGTGACGGGTCGGCAGAGGATGCTCATGGCATCTGATCCCACCTCTTATATGTTAGAAGTCCGAGTTTGGTCTGCTCCTGATTTGTATTGTTTGAATGGACTTTTGAGCTTGAATACTGTTCGTTATCTCCATATATTTCATTTATCATACATTGAAAATACATCTTTGCATAAAAAAATCTTCCTAAAACATATTGGTATTTTGGAGGCAAACTGTCTGCAGGATTGGCCCATGGTTCAGGCTCCAAGATGGGGCTAACTTGGTCATATACACATTGAAAATCTCCCCTGCTCCTAGGCATTAATTAGTAGGTAAGCTTTTGCATGATTAAAAATAACACTTAAGCCTCTGCCAAAGTTATAAAATCCATTTCTCCTGGTTCCAGGCCCCGGCTTGGGGCTAAGTTGTTCATAAATAGAAAAAATTATTACAGATTTTATAATCTCCACATACTGGCATTTAGCAGTCAAAATGTTATAAAGATAACAAGCATTCTGAGAGTATTGCATTAGCAATACTAGTCCCCTACCGGCAAGTGTAATCTGGTTCCCGTTAAGAATTGAAAATGCCAAAATTCCGTCAAAAATTAATAAAGCGGGACGAAATGCAAACTTGATCTATAACTAATCAAGGTAAAGCTACATACCAAAAATCAGCTCAATATCTACAAGCGTTTAGAAGAAAATTGCGGAAAACCCTTAAAAATTGAAAAGGCCGTAATTCCGTCAAAAATCAATGAAGCGGAACGAAATGCAAACTTGATCTGTAACTCATCAAGATACACTCACTTACCAAAAATCAGCTCAATATCTGCAAGCGTTTAGGAAAAAAGTGCGGAAAACCAAGTGGGACAGACTGACAGACAGACAGAGGGACAGACAGACAGACGGACAGACAGACGGACGGACAGACTCAGAGGAAACCTATAATCCCCTCCGGTTTCACCGGTAGGGGACTAATAAACACTTGGCCTTCTACAAAAGTTTTAAAAATCCCTGCCTCCTCTGGTCTGTGATTATGCTGCAGGGTGGGACTAAGTTGGTCATGTATTGAGAATATTTTCCCTTTCTTCTTCACTACGTCTTTACTCATGGTTATGTAGCAAAGTGCACGATTACAGTGAAATTGATCGTTAGTCCAGTGTTTAAGTCCCACTTTAATTTACTTCGCCTAACAATATTTCCAAATATTCTGCCTGTTTATCTAAACCCTTCAACCAGGGGACAAGTTTTAGCAACTTTGGAACGTAAGTGGCATAGACTTGTGTGAACTTAAACTTCAAAATTTTGTCCCTTACTCACTTTCGAAAATGCTCTGCTAAAAAATCGTTTCAGTAGTTTAGTGGGAAAAAAAACTAGCTTAAGAGACCTAAAAATGATACATGTTGTTAATAAACTAAATATGTGTTTTTCAGAGGCTTTGGTCGTCTATTGATGACAGCTTTCGGACCGTATTACAGGATGTTTATACCCCGGATGTTCGGACCGCATGGAAATGTGTTGTGGACTTTATGATCGAGAAAATCGCAGAATCGATGGAAGAAGCTGAAAAGAAGCAGGACTTCCGGTTAGCGAATGACAGAAATTCCAGCTTTGCTCACTTGGCAGATTAGGTCCAATCCAGATTTTAATCCTTGCCGCACAATTTATCAAGCACCCTGTGATTTAATACAGTAGACTTATAAGTAATGATTCAGAATTCTTCACATGCTGGCGTTATTGGAAACACGAGTTTTATAAATGGTTTTGATGTTGGATCAGTATTCCGGTGTAGAAATGTGAATTTGTAAGTGAAGAGAGAGAGAGAGAGAGAGAGAGAGAGAGAGAGAGAGAGAGAGAGAGAGTTTTCTTTTCTTTATTAGAATTAAATTATTTATATAGAATCGACTGGATTATTGTTCAAACTCCTTTATATGAAGACGGGCCAAATATACGAGATACAATATTGATGTGTTGAAAGTGTTTACTATACGTTGGCTTGGATATGAACCAAAATTCAGACATGCATAAAAATTTATAAGTATACCAATGTCAGGAAACGGGTGAAATATAGGGATCATTTTAGAGGCTCTGAGGATGATAGTAATTGTCTATCAAATTGCTATGCTCTATTTGAGGTCAATCTTTGGTCATTGTTGTTTCAAACTTTGCCTACGGAATAAATTAAGTGATAAGAAAGGCCATGTACAGCAGTGGGGATACTTATAATTGAAGTGCTTGCCATTTAGTAAATTGAAGTTGTATTTTGATTGTTGTGATAAGGGGAAAACCATGTCCTTATTAACCTTTCAGCGGGTAATGCCGATGTCCAATCAAATTATTTGTGGAAATGCAGCGTTTAACTACTTTAATTTTGTTGATACAACTAGTACATAATAGAATGGAAAACCTTTATTCAATAATAATAAGAATAGACATCTGGCAGGCTTTTGTGTGATTCTAAAGAATATACAACTTTTTGTCAAAATTGTGAAATTTACACCCCCTCTGGGTCCATGATTCAGGCCTTAGGGTGGGGTTTAGTTTGTCAAATGTTGAAAATACACTACATCTTTGAAAACCGTCTAAAATAGATTTGCTCACCTCACACAAGCTTTTATAGAAAGCTAATACCTTTTTCAAGAATTATATAGGATTTGAATACGTTCTGTTGAGCTCCAAAATAAGTTCTTGAATCCAGTACATTAAATCAATAAATGTATTTTATTCCATCTGATATAATGTACGCTGAGGAGATCGATGATGCCCATTGTAATAATGCAGGAATTGTTAAATGTTGGCGCAGTGGTTAGAGCATTTCTCTTGAGCCGCGGAGTAAGGAGTTGATCCTTATGTCATGTTGTAAATTTTGAATTTACCGGGTGGCAGTAAATACAAAATTTACAACATGACAAAGTATGTATGGTTATTGTTATTGTTTTTAATTAAGTACGGTGCATTGTAAGATATATAAATCATGACATCAAAATCTGATTTTATGATGGCGCAAGCTGCCAAAGTCACTTGTCTTTTGTTAATCAAAGATTGTTTTGAAAAAAATTTACCCGAAGACCCTTTATATATTTTACAAAAAGATATCCCTTTTAGAACTCGTTTCTGGTATTTACAATATTTGATTGGAAATGATGCTCATTCATTATTAAAAGTAGCAAATAAACGAATTTTTTAATGATCAGCAGAACGCATATAGACGTTATCCAGTATTTTTGTTGGATTTAGCTTGAGAAATTTACGTCTAGAAGCTGGTGAGGGCAGGCATATTGAATCTTTTTTAAAGGTGGAGGGGGGGGGGATCAAAAAAGGACAATTAATATGCCTGATACAAGTTTGACGAAAAAATAAATAAATAAAATTAAATAAAAAAATTAAAAATTTAAAAAAAAAATTCCACGTGATGGTGGGTCGGGGTGGAGGTGGATGTCCAACATTTTCTTTGAGATCAATAAGAAAGAATTATATTAAAGTAGGAGGATTGACTCTGCGAAACTCTGGGAAACTTAACATGGACTCAATCCAACTATAAAGATCTATTCCAAGCTCTTCAAGAATATATGTGTTCCCCGCTCCCTCTGGGTCAAATACATTGGTTTCTATGTTGGCTAGGATGGAGGGAACACAAAACTGGATCAGGATTTTACAAGGAAATAAACAAAAATAAAACTCTTCATAAGTATTCCTTTCTAAAACAACAGGGCCGTGATTTGTATATTTTTAAGTAAGCATCCTTAAGTAGTGCAGATTCAGGTTTGTTTGAATCAATGGCCAGCGGCGAGGGGGGCGGGGGGGGGGTAGGGGGTTTAAGGTACAGACAATCGTTTCTGTAATATTTTTTCCCCTCATAGTATGATAATAACATAATGTTCTCTAGCTCCAAAATAATATGGAGGAACCCTTTCCCCAGATTTCTAGTCAATTACGTTTTCAGAAAAAAAACCGCAGTGGCAAAAATAATGTCATGGGATGGGTGGGTGGGTGGGGGTATACCCCTCTTTTTACGAGAATAATGTTCTACAATGTTTTGCTAGCGCTGTTAATTAAGTATGAAATTTTTCTCAGACAGCTCCATCCCGCTTTTGTTGTAGTATGGTCAAATCCTCCTACATTAATGTACAAATTTAAAATCAGTGGGTTTAAAAATTTTGTCTCAATGAATGTAATGTTTTAACTTTCTATTTTTTATAAATAATGAAAAGTGAATATAACGAACAGTAATCATGCTCTAAAGTCCATTGAAACAATATAAATTGGGAACAGATCAAACCTCTAAAAACATCAGAGGTGGGATCAGGTGCCATGGAGGAGTAAGCATCCCCTATCGAAGGGTCACAACCGCTGTGTGCTCCTTGTCATGATCGGGGAAACGGAAAAAAATCTGTAGACAATTCAGTGAGAATACAATGGCCTAACAATTTGTATGAAAAACGTCAGTCAAAATTCGACTTAAGGTTAGATTGTATTTGCTGACAAAATCATTGTACCGACCATAGAATTTGTGAAATATTGATCTTAAACGGAACTGTTGATATCCTTGTATCATCATCTTATTTGCTAATAGCTTGGCTCTTTTTAGAAATTGCTCTTACGTAGAGCATGCTCTTGCGAATCGAATCAACTCGGAGACATAAACTCCATATGCAATTAATAATGGTATATTGCTACAAAATTAAGAAAAGTTGAAGTCATCGCGTTTATTATAAAGTTTTGTTGTTAGGTTACCATTAACGTCTTTTTATAGTAAAATATCCAGATATGAAACAGATTTATCAGAATCTGTGGTGTCTTTTATTTCGAGTTTAAAGGGATATATCGAATCAACGTAGGAATTTAATTGATAAAACGTCGTCTGGGTCTGCTAATCTACAATATTTTCCCGAAGTTAGTTTAGAAACAGCCTTTTACCTGTAGCCTAACAAAAACCAAACAGATATTCTGCCAGAGACAAGTACATAGTACTTTGTGGTGTGAACTTTGGCGAGCAATGACGCTGAACGGAGATAAAAGAAAATAAAGACAGCATGTCGTACATATGTATATAGTTTTTGTAATGATAAATTATCGTAGAAAAGAATGTTAGTCAACAGGTTTCCACTGCTTTTTCCCGGGGGGTCATGATTTGAATAAACTTGAATCAACACTACCTGAGAATGCTTCCATATAGATATGACTAATCATGGCATTGTTGCTCTTGAGAAGAAGATTTTAAAAGATTTTTCTTATGTATTTCTATGTAAAGTTTTGATCGTCCATTGTGGCTCCATCCCATCCCAAGGGGTCATGATTTGAACAAACTCGAATCTACACTACCTGAAGATGATTCCAAATAAATATGACCAATCATGCCTTTGCTGTTCTTGAGAAGAAGATTTTTAAAGATTGTGCTGTATTTTCCTTTGTAAAACTTTGATCGCCCATTGCAGCCCAACCCTACCCCCGGGGATCATGATTTGAACAAACTTGAATCTTCACTACCTGAGGATCCCTCACTGCTCAATACCCCTGGGTGCCGAGTAAAGATCAAAATTTGAAGCCCTTCACCGGTATATGGTGACGTCTCTATATGAGTGAAAAATTCTCGAATGGGACGTAAAACAATATACAATCAATCAATCAATTGTAAATCAAATTTAAGGGAAAAAAGATTAAAAATAAAAAAAAAAAAAGATTATCACACACATACTCTCACCCCCCCCCCCCCCCCCACCCATACATCATCATCGGTTGTCAATTTTTTTTTTTTATCTTAGTCGTAATATTTTTTCTGAAAAGGGCCCTTTTCAATACAGTGATATTTTTCTCCACTGATCACAGATGAAATTGATACAAAGGGCTTTGCTCTATAGACTATAACATTTTATTTAAGCACACTTTTTAAAATTTAGGATCCCTCATAAAATCTACAACAACACACATAGAAATGGAAAGCTACAATAAATGATATCTGTTGAAATGATGAAACAAAATTTCATCCACCCAACCTTTCTCATTAATAGACACAAAAGAGGAATCTAATTTATCAATGGCATGGTTGACGAGTTGAATTTCCAGGCTTGGCGAGTGAAAGGCCACTAAGATGATTGGTCTGATGCTAGTCTCCCTTGTGAGTATCATTTGTTAAGGAACTCAAGTGAGTGTCATTCCTGGCTTTTGTCTGTTCATCGACGAATTCAAATCTAATTGTGTGAAACGTGTACATATTGACAAATGTTCCACATCATAACCACAATGCAATGGGCTAGGATTCCATAGTCAATTTATTTTCCATTTAAATTAAAGCACATTCTTTCAATCCAAATTCATGGATATAATAGCCAACATTTCGAAGTTCTATTTCCGTAATAATAGCTGTGAACTCTTAATTTAGTTAAAAGCTGATACAAATCCACATCAGTGCACTGGTTCTTTTACAGTAAACTTACACAAAACTGGTTTAATCCCTCCAGTCAGGGATAAACCTTACCCTTAAGTTTGTCCCCTTCTGGTATCCACACCAAGGAGTAATAGCACGCGAGTATTACCGCGGCTACTGTCACCACAAACAGGTAGACCAGAGCCGTCACAATTCGGACGTTACGATGTTTGAAATGAATCTCCATCAAAAGAATTAATTCTTTGATAAAGCAGTTTTGAAACTCTTCACATGTTTAATTCCTTTGTACATCTGTGGAATGAACGAACAGATTATAAACATGAAGAACAGCTTGATGATTAACAGACGCACGCCAACAAAACATCTCTCTTCCCCAACCGTTAAT